CTTACGTCCCAAGTGCGGTATGTTGGAGACACCAATCGTTCTGCGGTCAACGCATAAAACACTTATTTTCTCTAATTCGGCCAGCGGAGGCATATCGAAGACGATGTGGATCTGAAAGCGACAGTGTTGCCATATTAAAATATTTAATATCTGTAATACGTTTGATGAAAATATCTTTGGATGAAAAATGTATTCGTGTTAAACATAGAATAAACAACAAAAATAAAAATTCTTTTATAGGTACTGAATATGTCGTATGATCAAAAAAAGTAATTTAATCGGCTTGGAAATGACGATTATTAACATTTACTATAATATTTTATATATGAAATAAGAACGATCATCATTTGCAAGCCAACTTTGAGGCCGTTCTTTGTTTAATCATGTAATATTATATTAAATTGTTTAATGATAGAAAATCCGTTTTATCAACGTACAGTACCGAAAATCCGTAAATCTACGGATTAATCAGTAGTTCTGGCAACACTGTCATTCAATGTGTCGACTGAAAGCAGAACTACGGTACAGTATTCTTTATCGCTGCGCTGTAAACGACTATCAGCGCGCGGCGGCCCAGTGCTGAACTAAATCTGGGAATTCTCGGACAGGCTGATGGTAACGCCAGCTACATCTCGGACAGTTTTTTGCCACGAAATCGCCCATAAGGTTGCGCATCTTCGTATTTCTTTAATCAACGATAATAGTAAAAAAAGTAACTAACGATAACCACGAATAGGATTTTATAAAAATTATGATACCACTAAAATAATATAAAAAAATCCCATATGGGTTTTTCGCCACTGCAAGACAATCTACAAATTAGACACTTAGATCCATTTTATCACATACTAAACCAATGAATACAGAACAACAAACAAAAAATGTAATATACCAAATACCATGTGAATGCGATAAATTTTACATTGGTGAAATATCTAGACCCTTAAATGTTCAACAACAAACAAACAACGCTTTATTGTGCAAAAAGCCAAAACAGCTTCATCGACAAAGCAATCACAAAACAAACAAAAGCACAAAAGAAAATATATACAAAAAACAGAAAATACACAATACAAATCATACAATTCAAAAAAATTTAAGTCATAATTACAAAAAGTACATACATGTAGACATGTAACATAAAGATTATTTAAGAAAGGGAGATTTTCACAAATCTAAGATTTGTCAGCATGGGACACAGGGCACAGAATAAATTTAAATAATGCCAAAATTATAATGAAAGAAGCGATAGCCTCTAAAAGAAAAATAAACGAGGCTTTTTTAATACAATCTAATAAAAATAAATGTATTGCTCATGCATTTGTAGAGGTTGGTAATGTATGGCAATCGCTTTTTGATTTTAAAGAACATAACATAACATAAATAAACATAACGTACGTAAAATTTAAAAATAAGCATACAGAAAGTTTGGGGCTTTATGGTTTTACCTTATTAAGTAATTGTTATCAGGTAGTAATTGTTAATTTTGAACTTTAACTTGATATAATGTCATTTTGACACAACGTCAACGGTTTCTTGTAGACGTATCTGTTTTAAAAAAGTAAAGTGTTCTCGAATAGTTGAATTTAAATATTTTAAATAGTTTTATTCTTTGTATTTTTTTGCTTCTGACGACGGAAAGAGATAACTTTCCGAAACGTTAAGCATTTTTTTCTTTGTTAGGCAAATTTTTATTACTGTAAACACAACTTCTGACAAGCAGCGTCCGTTTAGGTTTAACGCAGAAGTGTTTACAAAAAAAATAACTATTTTATTTTGTAGATTTTCATGCAGTGCAGTGGCGAAATACCCATAAAGGATTTTTTTGGAGAGATGAATCCGCCACTAGGTATAGAAATTTTTTAAAAAAATATAGACATTACATATAATCAAGGATATTAAAAACTGTATGCTCACAGTTAAAAATGCATTTACAAGAAAAATGCATAATCGGCGAATGGCGGCGAACAAAAAAAGCCGAAGTGGCCGAGTTTGAGTCGATGAGAAGATCGCCGCCACCCCGACCTGTCTGCGAGGCCGTAAAACATTTTATTACACAATAAAGCGCCGGTTTGATCTCGTAAATGACAGGTTACGGACCAATTTGCGGCCCCGATATCGAATCGTTTGGCGTTTTTCCACGTCCCGGGCGCGATTTTCGAAATTGGTCGATCAAATTTCGTGGACGACGATGGTAATGGCCGACGACGACACCGTGTTTAGTTTTAATTCGACGCGGTAGGCAATGATTGGATTTTGGCAAATACGAGGTTAATTGGAAGAAGCCAGGAAGAAGACTACATCAAAATTTATATGTTAACTATAGGTATAGGGCTTGAGTACAGAAACTATAGTTTACTGTTTTACTCATTATTTTGAATTACCACCACCGCATCGGCAGGGAAAATGGGCACCTTAAACTTCCTTTTGGTGTATTTTAAAGTTTAATATATTTTATTTACAACCACATACATATGTAATAATACTGACATTACATTACATTACCTCCACTTCCCTCGCGCCCATTTCCCTCACTCGGTTTTTCTTATTTCTCGCTTCATTTAATTAAGCAAAATATTCTTGTAATATATTTATTAAATACTTATCTAACGTCAACAAAAATAAACAAGAAGATTAACAATAATAATTGATATTGAAGATTTTAATACATTTATTTGTTGAAGGTAAAAATGCTAGACTTCTTTGGCTTAAAACCTACATTCTGGCGTTTTAAAAAAGCGACGAGTTTGTGATATTTTGATATGTCAGTCTTTTACCTTAATTCTAGCATTATCCGTATCATGCCGTACGTAGCCCCAAGAGTAGATGGCCTTTTCTGCCTTGCCATGTCGCTTAAATATGCCATCAAAACTGTCTCCGAAGCAATATTGTTATCATTTCTTTCGGCTACCATTTTTCGTATACTTTCAATTCTATTTCATATCGCCCCCTACTTTTCTCTGGAAGTAAACTGGCTTCTGCTCTTTTTGCAGCTTCTGTAAGTTCTGGTGGAGTACCAATATTAAAGTAGTCTTCATTATTAGGACTTTACGACAACATTCTGGCTTTCTATGTTATGTAAATTCGAAAAAGCGAACGAGAAATTCAAAACTCTCACTTAGTTGTTTGTTCTGATGTTGAATATGTTGAATATGTGTTTGCGCCATAACCAGAGAGAAACTAATAACTAAAGTGAGAGGGCTTGTGGAATAGGGCATTTCGTAAACAAGCATTAGACAAGTTTATTTTGTCACCGCGCATCCCAGACGCGCATAGCGTTTAGGCGGTCAAAAAAGGAAGTTTTCAACTTTGCAAGTTAAACATTTGACAGGATTAATTAGATTGTCAGTAGCTTTTTCTATTTCGTAGTTCTAGAAGAAGATAACTAAAATCTGCTGATAATCGGAGCAAATCGGAGTAATAAATTGTTTTTGACTGAATGTGCCTCTTCTTTTAGCTTGTCAGAAGAGAAGATTATTGTCATTATTGATTATTTCAGATTCCACGATTATTCGGCATTTTTGTAATTTTTGTTTTGTGGTTGAGACCCAGACAAAACGTTTCCTTTAAAGGTAAGTTTTATCTAGGTAATTATTTTAACATACCTAATAGTAATATTGAGTACACATAATAATCGTACATTGCTAATTTAATTTTTTTAATTTAAAACATCACATTCTTTTCTGATACCTATGGAACCTATGGTATTATACCTGATATTATTTCCAGTAATACAAATTATTTTCTTCAACCGCTAGGTTCTTGTTATAGAATAAAGACTATCAAAAACATTGAATACCTACGGGATACCTACTGATACTCTGTGCGAGCTCCCAACCGTGCTTCCCTGTTCACTCCCAACCAAGTTAGATAAAAAAGATACTGAAGATTGCAGCCTTGAGTTGGAGTATGGCAAGGAATATGGAGTTAAATAAATTATGATGTTCCTACACAGTATTTTATTTATAGGTTTTAATGCTTTAAAACATGGGCGCCGGAAGAATGAAATTTAGGGGGGGGGGGGGCAAGGTAAAAATAAAAACGGAAAAATAATTTCAATATCGAATTTTTCTTAATTTCTCATAATTTTAAGGTTTTCTAGCACATATTTTGTTAGGTATTCAATAATCAATAATGTTTTTGCTATTTTCTGTTACTTTTTTAACCAATTCTATGCATACTAGAGGAAAATTTGATAAAATAAATTTGTAAACAATCTGAAAATGTTAGATTATAGCTTTGTTCGGGTTCTTGTTATTACCGATTCTGAACCGTCCAAGAACTCTGCAGCGCATGCGCAAATGAAATAATGTCTTCATATTTCCTTCTGCGCATACGCATCACAGTTCTAGGACGGTTCAGAATCGGTAATAAGAGAAACCCGAAGTAAGTTTATGTGTTTCTGGCATTTAAAGCAACGTTGCCAATGCTAAACCTAAATTTAGCGTGTTTTTTTCGCTCATTCTGGAATTACGAAAGGCGGTCGCCAGAAGAACGGCTCCTTCCCATAACTGCTATTTTACCAACGAGATCTGACTATTTATACCCACGAAGTTGCACGAAAGAGTTTTGATTGCATTGGTTACAACTTCCATGCAGAGGGTGTTAATCTTTTGTTGTTATATTATTAGATTAACTAAAAAAAGATTAACCCCCTCCGCAAAGAAGTTAAAACCAATGCAATCAAAACTCTTCCGCGTAATTTTGTGGATATAGGTGTATATT